TGCGCGGGGCGGGGGTGGGGGCCGGGGCTTTCCGAAATAGCTGAGAACAAGATCATGGGTGAAATGAATGGGGGTCCAAGGCTGCAGGCGGCCGGGGAGGGGGTGGAAGCTGCGACAGATAACACCATTTACAGACCGTGATGGGGTGGATGGACAGGATGGTGAGGGGTGGACAGACGGGCGCCGGGCAGCGTGAGGAGCGCGGTGGGACACCAGCTCGCTGCAAGGCTTCTCACTGGGACACCAGCAGGGCCAGCCAAAAGGCTCTTTGAGCAGCACTGGTGCACACCAGTTTGCCAATCTTGGACAAACGGAGCTCAGTTTGGTGGGCAGCAGCACCACAGCTGCTCCCTGTGACCTCTCCTGCTTCTTACACCACCCTGTCACCCTGCAAAGGGTGCCCTGCCACATGGCAGGACAGAGGCTGTGTCCTGCCATAGCTGCACCCTGCCATAGCTGCACCCACGGGTGGTGATCACCCCAGAAACGAGGCAGGGGGCCAAGCCAGCCCATGGGCAAGGAGTACTGCTGCTCTTCAGACTTGGCACTGGGGAGACACCTCTCAAGTGGGGCTTTTCTCCAGCCACGAGAGGAGCCACAGCCACCGCCCAGCCCGCACAGGATGCAGACAGGACCCCCCTGGTTGCCTTTGCCACACTTTTGGCCAGCACACGCCCAGACAGCCCCTGGAGCAGCTGGGCCATGCTGGTACAGCACGCAGTGGTGCTCGCAGGGGGACACGAGCCCCTTGTTTTGCTGCTCAGGCACCTCCCTGGCACCTCCGGGGCCACGTGGAGGACAGGGAGATGCCGTGTGGGACCCCCCAGCCTGTGCCAGGGGGCCCAGCTCCCGGTGCCAGAGGTTCCTCGGGCTGCCAGGGAGCTCTGGGCATCCCAGTGCTGAGCCTTACAGCGAGGGGGGACAGGGTGGCAATGCTGGGGCACGGGTGGCACACGGACCCGGGGAGCTGACGGGACACACGGGGTTTGCCATGACGGGGGAGGTGGGGGAGGACCCTGGCTCACGGCAGGTTTCCCTGCTCCATGGAAGCTCCTTTTCTTGACCCCCATGCAGCCGAGCCAGGCACTGCTAAACCCACCAAGTATATTGCCACACCATCACCCCCGGCCCCATCCTGCCCGTGGCACAGCGGCAGGGCTCAGCCCAGCAGCACCCTCCAGCAATTTGGGTGTTTTTTGAGGGGGGAGCCAGCACTGAGCTCCAGCTCCTGCCCCCACGCAGCCCCTGGCAGCGATGGCACCACGGGGGACATTTGCCATGGGGTCCCCAGGGTCAGCAGGCACCTGGGGCACCTGGGGCATCCACTCTGCTGCAGGACACGGGGTCTCGCTCGGCAC